TCCTGACTTCCTTACAGGATTAGGCCAGTAATTTCTTCTAACAACCAGTTCTCTTAACTGCTTAGAATGTTAACAACTGGTTCTAGTGAATAGGTGCAAACTGGTAGAATCCCACCCCAGGTTGACTAGCTTGCAAACACTACCTTGCGATATCATCAAATAATTCAGGGCCATTATGTTGTCGATACTGATATGCCTGACATTTTCCAATAGGTACTAAAATCAGTATGGATAAAATTAGCTGTGACCTAAAAATCTAGCTCCAGCTTGGCAGACGCATTAAGACCTCTGGAGTTCACACACTTCAAGCATGGACCTGCAAGATAATATACCAACAGTGCTTTCTTTCTTTCAAATGATTTTTCAAAATCTCTAGGAAATCACAAATGCTGAGGACTACAGGTCTTATAATAGAAAAGAGAGATCACACCCCAAAATGCAACCTGCTTCCAGATTACCTGGTAATATTTTGTGGGCCTAACTCATACATAGTCTATGGCAGCCAGCTTTACCCAGAGAGCCAGAGTGCTTTTGGAGATAACCAAGAAGCCTGTGGCTTCTATTATTATATAGTGCAATTATCAGAATGCCATTTGTTCCTGTCTGTAACTTTCCTGGTCATATTTTCAAAGGTGCTGCCCATATCTGCCGAACCATATTTCAATGCATGATCCTGTTGTGATCAGCATTGAAACAGGACTCTGTACAATTTATGAAGAAACTCAAATCCAGCAGTCATCATGAGCTAATGAAACTCTAAGGCAATTACAGGAATACAGATATTTTGGATCAATACATCCGCCTTTTTCCATTCTCTGTTCCATTAGGAAGGATGTCAATATTACAGTAATGTATCCTACAGTTTGTCCTACTGGGTACTTAGAAAGTCTGCTCTGTTCTATTTTCTTAATAACGTTTTGCCATGTGCACAACTTGTACTGTACAAGTGTTATAAACTTCAAGTGTAATGAAGGGCTCCCATGATTCTCAGAGACTGGTGAATCTATCTCAAAAGTCCTGAGCATTTGATTACTGCAGGATTGTCAACAACATGTGATAAGGACTGTTCCATTTTGTTTTAAATTAATTTTCTGTTGGTACATCTTAAATACCCAATCTCGAACCACAATTTCAGATTCTTTGCCCCTTCTCCTTTCTGTCACAGGGAATCCAATATATACTCTCTTAGGAGCATAGGTCATAGTTCTGGATCCCATTTTAGAACATGAGGCTACAATGGGATCCAGGACTATGACCTATGCTCCTAAGAGAGTATATACTGGATCCCTCATAAGGATATCATGAGGGATAAGGCCCAAAATACAGCTAAGATCATTACTGATACTCATCAATGGGAGAAGAGTTCATGAGACATTTTGTATCTCTCTAGAACAGCATAGATGAACAAGAGATCAGATGCCATCAATATATTATATTAGTTTTAATATAATCTGTCCACAGATTTGGCACCAAATTAAGCACATACAATTCAAGACAGATTGTTAGTATTACTGTCTTTTCCTCAGGCCCAATCATGCAAAACAAGAGCTCTTCACTTGATAGGGACATTCAGGATGAAAAAACTAGTGAATAACCCAGGTTTTAAACTAGTGTTTATATTTCTCATTGCCTAAATATTTGTTTAGGATGTTAGCATGTTATGTAAATGAATAACCCATATAAATGTGTTTTTAAAAAAGCAAAGCAGTTAAAAAGAGACACAAAATGTAGCAGGTAAAAGTATAACCTACCTAGATGAAGGCATCTCCATCTGGAGAAAGATGGTTACTGATGAATTTATTATGGAAGCTGCCTAATCTCATTGCATGATATCACCTCTGAAAAATATTGCCCTTTGCCTAGTTGAAAAAGGCAGAAAGGGAGAATACAGAGACGCAACTGAATAGTTTGGGAAACTGAATTGGTGTTTAGGGAACAATGTGTACATGAAAGAGAATGGAGTGATCCAGGACACACTAATTTTCAGGCAGCAGGAAGTAGGGTGAAACAAGAAGTTCAATAACTGCTGCAGGCTCTGTGAAGATTCAGCATTGCATAATAGAAAACAACTGACCCAACTGCCTGAAGAAATAATTATCAAAAAAACAACAGTGTGGTTGGTGGGGTCTAAATTTATAACCCCTTAACAGCTGCCTGAATGAATTTATCTGCTTTATAAGGGAGCAGGTACCTAAGTGTTACTTCACCCCAACTTCCAGACTTTGGGCTCAAACAAGGCTTTCTTCTCTTACTCCAATTCAAGAGGCTTTAGCTGTAACCTAATGTACAAATAATTGATTGCAACTATTGGAAAAAAACCACTGTTACTACAGGAGCTGCCTAGCCCCAGGCACAGGTCACCGAATAATTTATTCTTTTTTAAAAAATTCCTATTACCTATTTGGAAGGACCATGGATTGAGTCATGATATTCCCTCTCTGTTCTCAACATTCTATGATGTTGAGGAAATTGCATGGATACCTTCAGAAAGGTTTGGATGGATCTGGAAATAGAAACGATGATCTGTGGAACTATTTCAGCTTCCATAAAACATCATCTTGACCAAATGCCACATGCTTTGCTGAACTATTACATATGGTAGAAAAACAAAATATTTTAAATGTTGTAAAACTTGTTTTACATTTAAAGAAATACCAGAGGAGAATATTGTAAAAATACAGGTCACATGCATGCTATTTATTTCTAAACATACATCAATTGATCAATGACATTCAAAATATGTACATTAAATTTGAAAAGTAACTCAGATTATCACCTATGTGAAATTTAAATTTGGCTGTTTCGTTGTTGCTGTCTTGTAATGAGGTAATATGCACATGGCAGTTTTAAAAAGTACCATGAATTTATTTCCAGTGAGTTCTGCGTACTGATTGAAGGTCCATTAAGCCTTTTTGTTAACAACTTTTTTAATTGTTAGAACTCAAAAGAAGTACAAAAGATTTTTTGATATTATTTTTCAAAGGTCACCAGCAATCTTGATATCTTATTTAGAATACACAGGTAGTACTTGATTTACAACCATTCTTTTAGTGACCTTTTGAAGTTAAACGACATTGAAAAAAGTGATTTATGGCTAGTCCTCGTGCCCATGGTCATGTGATCAAAATTCAGGTAGTTGACAACTGGCATGTGTTTATGATGGATGCAGAATCCTGGGCTCATGTGATCACTATTTGTGACCTTCCCAGCTGGCTTTTGACAAGCAAAGTCAATGGTCACTTAATGACCATGATTCCCTTAACAACTGCAGCAAGAGGTCGTAAAAGTGATGTGACTCACTTAACCATTTTTCTTAGTGATGGAAGTTTTGGTAATTGTCATATAATTGTTATATAATTGTCCCAATAATTGTCATAAGTCGAGGACTACCTGTAATCCTGAAATACAGATACTACTATATAGAACAAACTCTGTGAGGCATTACAGGATTGCTTTCAAGTAAGGATAATGTTACTTTAAAAAAAAATATTGAGGGGAAGAGACTTTGCTGTAGAGCACGGGTGTCAAACTCGCAGCATCACATTGCCATCACGTGAAGTTTCTTGATGTTTTTCTCATTCGGGGAGCTGGAGGAGGGCATGACGCGTCCAGCCCATGGGGCACCAGTGTGATCCCCTGAGCAGAGACATGATTGTAGCAACATTTATTCCTCAGACAGACATCCAACGCTGAAAAATGCATTTAAAAATTAACCTCAGGTAGTTTAAAACAATTTATTTAAGGAATCCTTTGTACCTCAGCCTTGTGCATCTGCCATGGAAGCCAATCATACTACAGAAGATTATGGAGTCAGTCAGGATCCACTTCCTCTCTAACCTGGGAATTGAGTCACTCAACATTTATTTATGATGATGAGTAACGGAGCTGTTCCTTTCTATTGCTGATTTGCAAACTACAATTATTAACAAATTGCGTTTGATTTTTTAAAACAGGAATGGTATATAATTTCTAGAAATGAAATCAGCTTCTTTCTTAAATTCCTACAGAGCAGTAGTCACCAACTGGTGGTCCGTGGACCAGTGGTGGTCCATGAGAAAATTTTGGTGGTCCGCAGAAAAATTATTTGCATTTTTAATATTGCACTAAATACTATTTATCTTTTTTTAAAAATCATATTAGTGGTCTACAGGATTTAAAATTATGAGTTTAGTGGTTCTTGAGGTCCAAAAGGTTGGTGACCGCTATAGAGTTCTAAATTCCTTAGGTCTCAGAATGCCCAGTACAGTTCATCTTTGCAATGAAAAACCACCTTCTCCAGATACACCAATTGAGAAACATGGGAATTGTAATCCAAAATATATGAAGCAAGCCTCCTCTCAAGCAAACATTTTCTGACTGGGAGCTCAGCTGCTTCTACATCTATCTGAATCTGATTGGGTGTAGTAGCTCTGCACACTTTATTCCCAATAGAGGCAGCTGGCCAAGTGCAATTTTAGATCCATTTCAACAACCTCCACACAACTGTGAATTTACAGTGAATGATATCTGGTTAACCATTAAGAAAATCCCTGAACTTTAGTACTATTCATCATGGCTTCGTTTGCGGAGTTCATATCAAGGAGAAGTTCCCGGTGCCCGCAGAAGCAGGGCGCTCCCTGGACTTGGTGCAAGAGGCTGCGCCTTCTGAACAACCCCGCGCCCGGCAAGATGGCCGACCATCCAGCCCTCTGGACTTTGTAGTTCTAAAATGTGCGAATTGAAGACATGCGAATGAGGGTGGCTAGAGCTTCCAGCTCTGGGGGAGGAACCACTTATTTATAAATAAGTTAAATAAGTGAAACATACGCCAGCAACACAGGAGGAAAACCACTTCCCTCCCTCCTTTGAAGGCGTCGCCTCCCGCAAAGGCAACGACCGGCCGTCCCCTGACCGCTACTTTAGGCCCCGCCCAGCGGCGGCGGCAACCCCCTCCCATTTCCCCTCACGGGGCTTAGCTCCGCCTGCCCACTCCCCCCCCCACCCCAACCGCCGCCCGCAACCTTGCTTTCCTCTCCCTCTGTGTCTGCACGTCCGGCTCAGCTCCCGAGACTGGCCGGGGAAGCGAAGCTCGGGGCGAGGATCGGTGCAGAAGAAGCCGAGCGAGGACAAAGGCGGGAGGGGGGCCGCGGCGGCTGCACTCCATTCAAGCGCCCTCGAGATGTTCTCGCGGAGGGGTCATGCGGATGTCAAGAAGTCCGCGCAGAAAGCGCTGGACCCGCGGAAAGAGCCGCTGACTCGCCTCAAGCACCTTCGGGCTTTGATGGGTGAGTGGCGTGGGGCGAGCGCGCAACGGCGGCAGCGCCAGGAGCTCCGAGCCCGGGAGGGGGAGGGGGCCTGAAAGAAAGATAGGTCGGGAGTAGGAGGCGGGCGTCTCAGGTGCAACCGTGTGTCTCCCGCCTCCTGCACCAGCTGGCAGTTACCCTAGTCTAGCTGGCTGATAGTACTGTAAAGGATACAGGAAGCGCTTTAAAGGTTCAGGAGCCTTAGCAATAGCAGCCAAACGATTGTCGCATGAAATTTGCTGCAGGTTCGAAAAAGCTTCATGCCTGAAGCATTGCCTTACAACACACTTCAATGCGCCGCTTAGGTTCCCTCTCTCGTTCCCTCTCCCTGATTTTGGATTGCTGTCCAGCTTCGTGTAAAAAAACAACAACCCAGCTCTAGAAGTTGTTATATTGCATCTTAAAAAAAAAAGCTATGTTCAGTCCTAAATGGTAAGTTTAGATACAGCAAAATAACCTGGAGAATTGATGATACATTTTTATTTATGCAGTTTAAAATGATCAGATTACAAAGTTAGTGATAGCAAGGTAAAATTTAAAAGCCATACTACAGGATCCTCCATGGTCTCAAACTTCAAACCAGAATTTTCATTTACTTTCTCTGTCCTCTGATGACTGGATATTTACCAGTGTCATAATGGTGCAGGGACTCATTGGAGAATATAGGAAATTGTTTCATGAAGAATTGTATGAGGTTATTAGTGATCCCCTCCACATACACATATATTTTTAACAGGGTACATATTGGACAAATAACTTGTGTCTGGAAGTATCAGTACAGAGACCGATATGATGTCCAGTACTTGTAAGCTGAACAAAATGGTTTTCTGCACTAGCATTAATTTTGTTTTGAGGATTTTATCTTATTGTAAACAAATGTTTCTAGTGACTAAAGCAAAAAAACAGCATTTTCAGCTACCTTATCTGCTTCTAATAATAAAACAGTGATCTTCCAGGAAGTTAACACAAGATACTATTAAAGGGGAAGCAAAAAATGTAATACTTTATGCAGTGAGATAACATTCCACCATGGGAGTTATTCATCTCAACACTGAAGTGATACATCTTATTAAAATTTAATGTAATGTACATTTTAATTTTAATTTTGACTTTAAAATTTGCATTGTGAAAATCCTTTTAAATAGTAAACTAAAATATTTTCAAGGAACAAGCCTCACTGTCTCCTTACTTCTGACTTCACACATGCATTGGAAATGTCATCTTATGATGGCCTCATTTCTATATAATCTAGCATCTTGCTCATGTTTATTTTTTAGTATTTAGATTTATTACTCCATTAACTGTTTTGAAGAAAAATAGTACCTAATTAACACTATTAAAACATAATATATTAGAGTATAAATTATAGTAGTAGCATCAAAAGACCTGAAATAATAAACATATATGTGCTACCCCATCTGAGTTGTAAGGAATGAGGTTGTTTTAACTTTAGGGACAATTGATTTTATAACCTGGGCCACATATAGAAGGCCAAATTGCTTGTTGATGTCTATTTGAAGCTTGTAAAATGTATGGGCTTAGCATTGGACAGAGGGCAATTAGGAGATGCTGCATCAAAAAATGCCTGGGGGACTGAGAGAAGGCCTGAGAGAATATTCCTCAGAATTCTCTGAAATCTACATGATCTACCCATCCCTAAGATATACTGATTTAGTCTTCATGCCTGTACAGGGAGGCATGGACAATTCTAAACTTCTCAGATAATGTTAGCCCCTGATAAAAGACAACTTTTCTAGTACTTCTCTATATAAACTATTGCTTTCGGTGTTGAAAACCAGATCAAGTAAATTATCTACTTCTTGGGTAGATACTAAAATAATCTTAGTAAAGTCCCATGACAATTCTTAAGAGTCTGAATTTCATTTATCAGGAGAATCTTGGAATTAAATGGTTGATGAGTCCCAAGACCAAAAATCTTGGGGTCTCCACTATCATCTTCATTGACTATTCATATAAATTCATTCTGCTAATTGATAAGGGTGACTGATAGACCAAAAGAACCCATCTTCACTTACTATTAAATATATATATATATACCCTTGAAAGTTATAAAGTCCTGGAAATTGCCAGGTTGGAATCAAGGGGCATCAAATTAATCAATGAGTTAATAAATAATCTTATAATTGTTGACTTCTTAAAGATTTTAAAATAGTATTAACTCTATAAACCTGAAATCATTTTGGGATTAATAATCTCTTCAGAGGGAGTAGATTGATTAAAAGAAGTGATTCATAAAAGCAACATTGTGCTGTTTTTAGTGATCCCCAAAACAATGAAGTATGCACTTTTATGAGTTGCCCTATCCTTTTAGTAAAATGCTGGGATTGGTTCATTAAAATGTAAATTGTATCATTTTGGTATAGTAGCAAGAACAGATGTTGTATGTTACTGAATTTTATTTCCTGAGAGAGTCCTCATCATGTAGTGGTTAAGGTGTTGGACTATGAGTGAGGTGATTCAAGTTCTAGTTTTTCCTGAGGAGTGGAAACCATCTCGGTTATCTTTGGCCTGTCACTCCTCTTCATCCCTAATCAGTATCATATTCTGGATGAGAAACAAACTCCTTGTCCTATAAAGTATTCAGATAGATTCACCCTAAGAGCTAAGTGAGTGCAGTGCAAAAACAAGCAGCCGCTGCTGTTGGATGAGATAAACGCGAAGAACAACAACCATGCAGTTTTGTCCATATTAAAAGTGGCTGGACTTGTAACTGAACTGTAATTAGCGTTTATTATCTGCTGACTAAGGTGTGGTCAGAGGGGCATGCAAAATATTTCAACCTCTGTTTTTAATTGCTGGTACTTTGACCTTGAAATGGGCTTTTTGAAGCTCATAATTTTATTCAAAGTCTGAAGATTTGAGGTGTTTGAGCTTAAAACATTTAGAATTCAAATTTTATTCTTTATTCCTATTATGTAACCCAGAGATTAATATATACCAGTGGTGGCTAACCTTTTTCGGCTCCTGTGCCAAAAATTATGTGTGTGTGCCAGCACCCAGAAAGAAATGCACATGCCCCCCCCCACGACCTGTGGATGTGCGTATAACCCCCATGCGCCTGTGCGCATGTGTTCATGACCTCCCCGCACACCATGTGCCTCTGCACACGCATGCGTGATCCCCCACCCGTGTCTCTGTGCATGATCCCCCTGCACACCCTGCGCATCTCTGCGCATGTGCACAAGTCTCCCATGTACCCCCTGCCCCTGTGCATGCACACCAGATACCCGACAATCAGCTGGCGGGCGGGCACATGAGCAGTGGGGCTCTTCTGGGTGACCTCTCACATGCCGGCAGAAGTGGCTCTGCGTGCCACTTCTGGTACACATGCCACAGGTTTGCAATCATGGATATATACCCACATTTCCTTCTAATCCTGAATATTGGAAAACAATATTTTTTTCCTGAAAATAAGATCATGGTTGCTGTTATTAGTGGTATTATTTTTAATTTGTACTAAAAGTGGCATCTGTACCAATTCATTATATACTAGTGGGAAAGAAGCTATGGATAAATTCTACCTTGATAAAGGCAATTATTGTACAGTATTACATTTCATTTATTGGTGATGTAATTTTATCTACCTTTGAGAAAACATACGATTCAGAAAGTAATGAACCAATAAGCAAAACAAACCTTAGATTAAGTACTGTAAAAATTTGAATAGTAAAAGAATTGAAAATAATACTGTAGTTGTCACCAAAAAGATTTTGATTGTCCTTCCTTTGGAGTTATCATAAAAATTCTTATTTGTCTGATGATAACTTGTTCAGATTTTTGAAAAAGAAATTATAGTAAATAATTTTTACAAGAGGGGGGAGAGAGAGAGAGAGAGAGAGAGAAGGGTGTGTGTGTCTTTGACATCTGAGAGGATCAGCAAATCTTGTGAGATTTTTGTATGTTTTCACCCGAACTTTATGAGACTGGTTGGCCCTCTTTATTCCATTCATTTTTAGTTACTGTGAATTGAGAGGAAGTACTATCTACTTCCGTTTTTGTTAGTAGTCATGAATTATTCAGACAAATGGAATCGTGTAAAAATGCAGAATCTTATTAGCAAGGTCAAGATGAACTTCCTTTCCTTTCAGTATTACTTCTGCCTTGACATACTTTCATGTCCTTAGAGGCTCTCCATTACATAGATTGATTAATAAAATGTGCATTTTGCTTTTATGGAGCACTGTTCCTATAATTTGCAGCAATTTCCTATTCATTCTGCTTGCTCTTTAAATTATGTTTATGAAATAGAAGACCTGACATTGTTACTAATCACAATTCTTTATTGCATCCTCCACAGCAGTTTCATAAAAAAAAGTACACAATTTGTTAACAAATTGCAAAGTTTAACATGATAGAAGGGAAAGATATACATGACTAGATGTTTATTTATTTATATTTAAAAAATTAAACCACACAATAGCTGAAGTTATTTTCCCTCTTTTAACAGCAGTTTCTGACCATTCAGAGGACTTTTGTGCTGATTTACTTTGCACAGACAAATTTTAACATAGAATGTTGCAAGGTTTTGTTACCCAGTTTTAAGGCAAGAGATCCACAGTGAAAAATAAGGCTGAAAAATAAGTGGAAAAATAAGGCTGAATATTGAATATACTTCTAAGTTCTGCTTGTATTTTTTGTTTCTATTTGTTGTCAAAGAATTCAATAAATTGGAATTAGAATTGGAATCATGGTTTGTAAAAGTAGAAAGCTGGTTCAGACAAGGAAAGGAATGAAGGAGGTGAGACTGAAATTATCCCTGCAAGTAATTGTGAAAGAATAGATCAGGCATGGCGATGATGTCTTGAGCTACACTGAGTGCCTCAGTTTTCTCCTTAAGTGTCCTGTTCTTGCAGCTAGGTCAGTTGATTTAAAAACAGAAAAAGAGACATTGTTTTTTCTTTTAACTCTTCTGTTAAGGTCATGGTTAATTTGATCTCTTCTAAACTCAGATAGTGGTCACTTGGCATGGTTCCAGGATTTTCTTCATCCCAGTTGCTTGGAATGGAATGGAATGGAATGGAATGGAATAGAATAGAATAGAATAGAATAGAATAGAATAGAATAGAATAGAATAGAATAGAATACTTTATTGGCCAAGTATGATTGGACACACAAGGAATTTGTCTTGGTGTAAATACTCTCAGTATACATAAAGAAAAGGTACATTCGTTAAGAATCAAGAATCATAACGTACAACACATAATGATAGTCATAGGGTACAATAAGCAATCAAATCATACTAGGAAATAGTCAGTATAAATTGTAAGGATACAAGCAACAAAGTTACAGTCCTACAGTCACAAGTGGGAGGGGATGAGTGATAAGGAGTGATGAGAAGATTAACAGTAATAATAGTGTACACTTTGTAAATAGTTGAACAATGTTGAGGGAATTATTTGTTTAGCAGAGTGATGGCTTTCAGGAAAAAAATGTTCTTGCATCTAGTTGTTCTGGTGTGCAGTGCTCTATAGTGTTGTTTTGAGGGAAGTAGTTGAAACAGTTTATGTCTGGGATGTGAGGGGTCTGTAAATATTTTCACAGCCCTCTTTTTGACTCGTGCAGTATACAGATCCTCTTTTGAAGACAGGTGGGTAGTAATTGTTTTTTCTGCAGTCCTAATTATCCTCTGAAGTCTGTGTCTGTCCTGTTGGGTTGCAGAACCAAACCAGACAGTTATAGAGGTGCAGATGATAGACTCAATAATTCCTCTGTAGAACTGTATCAGCAGCTCCTTGGGCAGTTTGAGGTTTCTGAGTTGGCGCAGAAAGAACATTCTTTGTTGTGCTTTTTTGATGATGTTTTTGATGTTAGGTGTCCATTTTAGGTCATGTGATATAGTACCTAGAAATTTGAAGGTCTCTACTGTTTATACTGTGCTGTCTAGTATTGTAAGAGGTGATAGTAAGGGAGGGTTTCTTCTAAAGTCTACCACCATTTCTACGGTTTTGAGTGTGTTCAGTTCCAGATTGTTCCGGTTACACCACGAGGCAAGTTGTATAACCTCCTGTCTATATGCAGATTCATCGTTGCCTCGAATGGGACCAATCACTGTTATGTCATCAGTAAACTTCATATTTTAACAATTGGATCATTTGAAATGGAGTCATTGGTATATAGGGAGAAGAGAAGTGGAGATAGCAAACAGCCTTGGGGGCCCCCCTGTGCTGATTGTACAGGTATTGGATGTGATTCTGCCTAGCTTCACCTGCTGCTTCCTGTCTGTTAGAAAGCTTATGATCCACTTACAAGTGTGTTCAGGTACTGCTAGTTGATTTAATTTACTTAGAAGAGTGTCTGGAATGATGGTATTGAATGCTGAACTGAAGTCTACAAAGAGGACCCTTGCGTAGGTATTTGGAGATTCAAGGTGTTGTAGGATGAAATGCAGAACCATGTTAACAGCATTATCTGTCGATCTATTTGCTCGGTATGCAAACTGCATGGGATCTAACAGCAGATCCGTGATGGTTTTCAGGTGAGACAGCACAAGCCTTTCAAAGATTTTCATAACTACAGATGTTAGAGCAACTGGTCTGTAGTCATTCAGTTCCTTGATGGAGGGCTTCTTTGGCACTGGGATGATGGTAGAACGTTTGAAACAGGAAGGAACATAGCACATCTCTAGTGATCTATTGAAGATTCGGGTGAAGATGGGGGCCAATTGGTCAGCACAGACTTTTAAGCAAGAAGGAGTTATCTTGTCTGGCCCTGGTGCTTTTCCTGGCTTCTGTCTGTGTAATAAATCTTGCTCTTCTTTTTCTGTGATCACCAGAGGTTATGATTGGGGCAAGTTATAGGAGGCTTGGCTGCTGTTGGTGTGTTTGAGAAGTGAGTTGTGGAGATAGGAAGTATGAGTTTATTTTTTCCCTTTTTTCTGTTGATAGAAGTGTGTGGAAGAATATGAAAGTTACCAATAGAATAGGTGGAACTTTGAAGAAGCTGTACACATTTGTAGAGCTACATTAGGCATGACTCAGATCATTGAATAAACTGCATAAATTTCGTTCAATGCCTCATTCACCAGACCATTATGGAGCTGAAATACCAAGGCATACTGTGAATACAAGGAATTAACTTGTGAAACAATGTAAGAATGAATTAAATCCATCATAAAATGAAATTTAAGATACCTTACTTTTAATTGTGATCCCAAACTTCGTAGCATGGGCAGAAATTTCAAGTATTTTAAATTTTTATCTTAAAATGGAAATTACTTATAAATGTAGAAGTACCTAGACAATTCCAAAATTCCATACTGTCCTTTAATGCTTGTGTCACATAGTTGTGTTTGAAGCATTTTCTTCCTGCAACATTATTTTGTTTATGCATTTTAATAATATTTTATGTATCCTTATAACTTTCACATACAGTAACTTTTTGTGTTAATTTTCTTGTACAGATGCTATGGATGGAAGTGAACTCAAACAATTCTTTGAGATCAATTATTCTCAAATTTATCTTATCTTCTATGAAAGTTTTGTAACACTGGAAACCAGTTTGAAACAAAAAGGTAAGTATATTGTCTTTTAAGATGCTTAATACTACCTTATTTTTGGAATTATATAAATCTCTGTATATTTCAAATAACTTTGAATTAATTAATCAGCAAACCATTAGAAATTACAACTGTCTATCTAACTTTCAAAAAATTTTGTTTGCTTACAAGCGTTTTAACTATTTATTAAATTTCTATCCTGCCTTTCTACCCATATAATGCTCAAGGGAGCTTACAGCAATAAAAATGTGTTTTTAATAATTAAAACAATTAAAATTATAAAAACTAAAAATCAATATCATTAAAATCAATTTTACTTAACAATTAAAAGCTTGGTGAAATTTCTACCATTTTTCTAAGAACTGGTAGTGTAGAGCCATGCACATCTCTCTGAATAATGCATTTTATTATCTGGACTCCATGCAAGTGAAGCTCTTGTCTAAATCAGTAAACTTCTGGCAATAGGAACATCTTTAAAATGGCTTCTCCTGCTGATCCAAGTAATGGGCATTTTCATAGTAGGTTAATATGCTCAGTCAATCTAGTTTAAGGAAAGCTTGTTTTTTTTAATATAGTAAGGAATTACTGTGTACAACCTGTTTCAGCATGAACATATCATGATTAACCACATAACATTAATGTGTTGTTTTGGGAGAAGCTATCTTTAAACTTTAGTGGAATAAGATCATTGGTGCTTATATTAATAAGCATCATCTTATTGATTGCCAGACACAGTTTTTGAAGTATATCAAAGCTATCTCAGAAATAAGTGAAGATCTTAGATATACAGTATTTTGTGTTTAAATCATGATTTGGGCTGGGGGGTTTTCTTCCGCTTCATTAAAACAAACTAAAATAAAATTAGTAAAGAATAGTATTTATGCGATGAACGTCTCTCTATCAAAACTTGAACAGTCAATATATCAGTGTCAGTATCGGGTTGCAGGATACTTCCAGTGTGTGAAATACCCGTCTGTTGTTTTGTTTTACAATTTTCTGTCGTTTTCCAGAAATATGTAGATTTATAACTGTATAACCACCATTGCTGACTCTAATTTCATTATCAAATTCTAGGCAACAAGAATATAGGTTGCCTTTTATTAAATTTGTCAATTTTATCCTTGAAGCCTTTTCTCTGTTCTTTTATTGTGTATGGCTAAATGCTTCTTATTGGAGATTTACTACGGTATATTTACTTCACTAACAGCTGAATTAAAGTGTTTAATTTAATCATTTAGACCTTAATTTAATCCTTTCTCACGTTTAAAACTGCTGAGGAAAGGTAGAAACTAGGATATACCGTTTTCAGGCTTAGTCATCTCAAGAACGAAAACATAAATATAATAAGCAATTTAAAGGAACATTTAAAAACAAAACAAAAAGAACAAATATAAGTTGCTACTAGTCACCATGGCTAAATTTTGGAAAAATGAGTAGAGTGGAGCTTGTTAACTATTGTACCATAAGCTTCCTGTACATATAATTAATGATCCTCTTATAGACACCAGTTAGCCTTTGTTCAATATTGTGTCAGAATGGATTTTCTAAATAATTATCAGAAGATTATGATGATTGCCCCAAGATGAATAGAACATCCAAGCCATTATCAGTCTGGAAGTGAAGCCTCTGTTGGTCAAAAGTGTCGACCTATACTTTTTTTGTCCACGAGTTATGAGCAAGCTAGAGTAGTATTTAAACTACAAATCTTGGGTGTAGAGTGACAAAATGAGTTGGATATAGTCTAAAATGTTAGGAACCTTATTCTGAATTGGAGACCACAGCTAACTTGTTATCTCGCCACCCTGGAAGATTGAATGGCTATAGATTTTGGGGCCCTCGAAAAATAGTTCATGGGCTACGCCAACTTTGATACTGGACAGGGTTGCATTGCCCCAAACAGACCCAGTGTGCAATCTAGGGACCTCCTACATTCATTACTCCCGCTCAACGAATAGTTATAAAAGTTGTGGCTAGGAGACCTTTGTACAGTTCTGTTTTATGCACCAGTTGCATCTTTTCCTGGATTGGGAAGTTTTGTTCATGGTCACTCATGCCTGATGACTTCCTGGATGACCTCCCGGATGTACTGTTGTAAGGCACTTTATATATCCTTGAAAAGTGTTTGGAAGCTTCAGCTTATGCAATGAGATGTGCAGCTATGTGTACCCCTAGAATGGCATATCTATTCCATGAGCTGCATGGATTGCCAATTTGCATCCAGGTCCAATTCAAAGTGCTGTTTTTGACCTTTAAAGCTCTTCATAGCATCTCTGAAGTATTTCTCAGTCCTGTATCACGTCCTAAAGAATCAAGAAAAGTTTAGAGAAAAAATGTTTATCAGCTTTCTTTACTTTAATCTCATTGAATGTGACAGCCTGCCACCCCGTTTTACTGCTAAACTGCAAAAAAATAAATAAATCATTATTTCAGGTAAATGCAGTATTTCTGTGGAATTATATTATCAATGCTATTATCTTTATGCATAATGAGAAGGAACATTCTTTTTCTTTGCCCTTCAGGAAATAAATCCCAAAGAGAAGAGTTGGATTCCATTCTTTTTCTTTTCGAAGTAAGTTATCCATTTTCAACATATACTGGGCATTATAGTTATGTGGTTCTTTATGATAATAAACAGATACTTTGTTTACAAGCACTATGGTATGATCCTAAGTAGTGGAGGTGGGGTTCCTTCTTTTTAATTGTTGAAATAAATGATAAAAATACGCCAATATAATTAGATCAGCCTGCTATTAGACAATATGTGTAATGCAAAGAGGAAGAGCAGACAAATGTTTGGAAGCAGACAATTTACTATTTTAAGAACATAGATTTCCATTTTGCAGATTCTAGTCAGAACATTTATGAAGTTGTCAACCAGCTCTGTGGGCAGTTCTAGATACCTTTTAAAGTAGATACCTAGATGGTCAAAATATGAGGCAGTAACATGAATAATGACATGATCAAATGGAAGAAGTTAAGTGGAAATTCTTCCCTTTAATTAACCAGGACAAGATTGATTGGTTCATTACTTAGAAGTTGCATCTGAATCTGACCAAGAAAATAGATCTGACAAATTAGTCACTTGGCTGCCTTTGTAAAAATGTTGCCAACACACAAATGTGAATAATAAATATTGCCTCATTTTAAAAAAAGGGAATCACTAGATCTAAGAAGTTGCTTTATGTAAATTTAAAACAACAAATTTTCTTAACTTCTCTAGAGAATACTACAATTATTACCTGAGAGAATTTTCTATCGATGGCATTTTCATAGCATAGGTAAGTATACTTTTAAAGTCCATATTTTATGTTGTAGTGCAGTTAAGGTAAAAAAAAAAGTCCCTTAATGGGAAACAACAAATTGGATTGGCATGTGATATTTTATGCTTTGCACTACAATTCTTGCATATTTGATTGCTTTTTCAAATGCTAAAATGTCAAATGGAAGATATTGAGGTAATCTTCATAATCTCTTATCTTTATCTCTTTAATTTGGTATTTGAACAATTGATTTGCTATAGTAGAGAAATCAATGGTAGTTCAGGTATCATTGCATCTGAATTGTTAAACTGTTACCTGATGATAACATGCATTATCTATACCAAAATTTATTGTTTTTAATCAACAGTTTGGAAATGTATCTGTTGTTGAAATGGTTGCCCAGTTAACTGGAATGAATTCTATAGAGTCCCAATAGGTTCTAATATTTGTATGGAAAACCCTATAAGGTATCTTTTTAAAATCACAAATGAGTAATAAATTTATGAGAACAGATAACTAAATATGCAATGCTTCAAGATCAATGTGTAGAGGTAGTTACTTTAGCTTACTTACAGTATTTATTTATTTAGTTCAATTTATATAGCCATCAACAATTAACTGTGTCACACTTATCACCTTACCCTTCAAAAAACAGCCAAAAGACAGTAGGAATGCAGTCAATCTAACCTTGCGGGAATAGTGTTCCAAATGGCAAGTGCAATGACATAAAAGACATGTTTCTTGGATCCCACTAGATGACCCTCTTTAATAGATGGGACCTCAAACTCAAATCACCTCAAATCAGGGGACGACAGTGCCCCAGATATCCTGGCCTTATAGCATACAGGACGTTGTTGAATTACTTCAAATGAAAGTTATTTTAAACAGTTTGATAAAATATTAAGAACTGTTTATAGTAAGGACAATCCTTAGATTTTTTTAAAAAACTCTAAACTATTGTTTATCTTACAAAGGTAAGAAATTTAATTTTAGCTATAATTCCATTGTATTTCCTGCATTAAGGGCTGCATGACATATTTGGAAAGTTTGAACAAAGTAACATTATCAACCATGATGAGCTAATCTTTAATTTGAAAATTTCCTAATCCATTTTTCTTTATTTTAGGGTCAATTTTGAAGAAACTTCTGCACACTGGAAACTGCCTTAAGGTATTTTAGTGCTTGCTTTAAATCCTGCATTTCTCTAAGAACATATTCATAAATTTGTTTATGATTTGTTTATGATTTGTTAGATACAAGGCAATATGCAATATCCTGTTTTCACATATTTCACTGCTTTTTAGTCCTAGTTGTGCCCTTTTGATTGTCATAACTGGTTGTATTTCTTTGCAGCAGCAACCTCCATATGGGGGGAGGAAGCTCAAAAACATTGCAAGATGGCACTCGCAGCAGTATGATTTGAGCACATGTACCCCATTTGTGTGTGTATGAATGCTGTACGAAGTGTAACTGCCATCTTCCTGTTTTGTCATATATATACCGGGTGGCTGCTGTTACTCCTGCTCTTTAGTAGCAATAAGATTAGTGATTTATGGCCCCTATTTTGGGGGTGGGGCGGCTAGTCTGATAATTTAGTTTTTGCCAACAATATTTGAACCATCTTCTTCAAGCCAAATATATTTCTAGAAATACTTATATATGGAACTATGACTACTTGTGATATATTAAGCTATGGAAATTCAGATTTCCATAGCTTAAAATATGTTCAAAATCTATTCAAAATGTTTCCCTTGTTACCGGATGGAATTGTACATTTGGTCAACAGTGTTTATTTTCAAACTGATCTATTCATAAGACTATTAAGTTGTGTTCTTGATTTATAATGGGCTAAATGGTATAATTAAAATATACAGCATCATAAACAACATTTGCTTGTCATTTTCCAACTAGGAATATTTTCATATTATTTCTCCCTGTGACTCCCTCTTTAATGAGAAAATATGGTTACAATCTGATTAAAAGTTTAAATTGTCCAATTTGATTTTCAGAAGAATTTGAACAATGTACTATCTCCAAGACATTCCTCTCTCCTACCCCTTTTATTATAAACCTTGCCTCATTTTCTTTCTGAGCTTCCTCTTTATCCACTAATTCTTTATCACCTTTGCTCCTTCCTGTTTTGAGTGACCAGTTCATTTCTGAATAATGGCTGTCACAGGGAAGAGGGGGTTGATTTATTCTTTAAAGCACCTGAGGACAGGACAAGAAGCAATGGGTGGAAATTCATGAAAGGGAGTTCCAACCTGGAACTAAGGAGAAATTTCCTCACAGTGAGAATAATTAGTCAGTGGATTAGCCTGCGTCTCAGAATCGTAAGTGCTCCATTGCTGGAGGCTTCCAAAAAAAGTTTGGATAACCATTAGGTCAGGATGGAATAAGGATTCCTATCTTGGGCAGTAAGTTGGACTAAAAGATCTCTACTAGATAAAGACACTTGGCTTCACTCAGAGTTGGATTCTGGTTGGATATGTTCTTTGCAGGAAGAGTTGGTTCACCTGCCTTGAAACTGAGAGTAGTTTGCCATCTTCTCAACTTGGACAGTGTTGTGTTCAATTTCCAGTCTTCCCTTTTTAGAAAAGGTGGTTGAGAATGACAGGCACTCAGCTTCAAAGGCCTTTCATGAAGCAAATTATCTGGACTCTTTTCAGTCAACTTCAGATTGAGCGATAGAACTGAGACAACATTAGTTGCCCTTGTGAATAATCTCTGGGAGCTGCCCTGATTCTCCTGGATCTCTTGGTGGTTTTTAGTACCATCAACCATGGTATCCTTCAGAATGGTTTTAAGACTTGAGAACACTATTTTGTGATTGTTTACCTCCTTCCTAAGTGATCAGTTGCAATGGTGTTTTTGGAGAATGGGTTTAACTTTTGCCCCTATACTGTAGTGCTATGATGATGAACCTATGCCACGTGTGCCGGAAGTGGCATGCAGAGCCATCTCTCTGGGCACACCAGTCGTCACCCTTGCTCTTGTGGGTTCCAGCGCTTGCATGAGCACCAGCCAGCTGGTCTTTGCGAGCACGCGAGCGCCAGAAACCAGAAGAGCAGCTCCCTGGCGCACATGCGCATGCTGGCCAGTGGTCTGTGCGCACGCATGCGCATCAGGAAACGGAAGACCAGGTGTCTGGCACACTTGCACATGCTGGGAAGATAAGCTTCCCATTTCCGGTACTCCTGCACACGTGTGTTGGGGAGCTGCTCTTCCAGTTTCCGGTGCGCGCACACTCCTATTTCAGCACTCAGTGCTGAAAAGGTTAGCCACCACTGCTGTAGTGGATGGATGGGTAGGTGGGCGTGTGGTTGGAAGGATGGATGGATTCATACAGCATAAGACAGGTAAGTTCAGATATATAGATAGATCCCTTCTTGCTCCTGTGAAGTCATGGTCCCAACTTTATGGTTGCTGACTGTCCGATGATTTTTTGTGCATTTCTGATAAAGCTGAATATATAGAGATTTGCAGTTTATTCTTGTCTGTATGCTGATAAAAACTACACCTGAATTGCTTGTTAAAAGGAATTGGTAAGCAGTAACATTAGTCAAACCGTATTTGGGGAGCTAGTATGCTTTGTAAATATAGAAACAGACTTGCCCTTCAGTTTCACCCATTAAAATGCCTCATTCATATGCGGTAAAAAACCCCATCTTTATTTCCCTTCCTGAAAGTTAGGTTGCATCAGAAAAGGCATTTAGAAGAGGCAATTGGCTGATAGTCCAATTGAATATGAGTAGGCATCATTCAGCAAAGAAATATAACCCGTGAACTTCCTGGTGGAATTGAGCCAAGAGAAAAAACTAATTTTGAGCTTCTTATTGTAATGCAATCCATAAGAAGGATAACAAAATATGTGTTAAGTTGATATACTTGAAAGAAAATTTGATTAGGTGAAGAAGTAAAGAGCTTAGGAAAATCACTGTTTAAATCTTGTGAGGAAAAGAAAATCACAGTACCAGAAACAAAAGACATAACATTTGGAAAGAAATTGGCAATCTGTTAAGAGCAGATGGGACAAATTCAAAACTACCTCTGCAGAATAGCCTTATATGTGTAGAGAATGAGCAACCTCTAGTGGCTCTTCTAGAGAAATGTTTACTACAGTAAAAGCTGAAAGATTAAGCTGTATTTGTACAGCCTGGAATCCAAATAAGTTTCCAATGTTATTCTAAACTAAATCCAGGACTTTATTTTCCTATAGCCATTGTCTGTTATTTATTATCTTTATTTTCATCTTCACTTTATATAATCTCTGTAGTTTTCTTTTTTGAATTTTTAATTTTGAAATAGTAATTTTATGAATACAATCAGTTTTTATAATTATAGTTGTGGGAATCTGGTTTTATATTTCCAATATAAAATTATGCTATTTAAACTTTATATGGTGTCACTTTTGATACAATATCATGGAATGTTAAAGATATATATATCCAATAGGAGGACTTTTTAAAATATATATAACCTGGATATTTTAAAGTTTGAGATAGTTTTTCTGCAAGAAATTCATATTTTTCCTGACAAAATATACAGTATTTACTTGCTAAGGTGAATTGACCACAGATTAATCTTGTATTAATATTGTAACAATTTGAAAATAGACAGAATTATTTTAGTAATTAAAATTTTATAAGAGGGAAAATTTTGATATTTGAAATGGTGGTAGTCAGGTTGTTCTTATGAATTTATGGTCCAGTGAGAGATATGCCTATTCTATATGATTATTTGGTTTTTGTTTGGTTCTGGTTTTTTTCATTAGTTTACAGGTGTTGTATATTAGGGGTGTCAAACTCAACGTCATGGCGGCATCATGTGATGTGTCGCAGCTTTCCCCGCCTTCACTAAACCAAATGTGGGCATGGCCAGCACGTGACACATCCAGGCCATGGGCTGCGAGCTTGACAACCCTGTTCTATATAATTCTAACTGGGAATTCTAATTTGGTATTGGAGTCTTCAGCTGACTGTAATATTTCTAAGAAAAACTGAGTAGAAGCTGAATTTATGTTTATTAAGGAATTTAATTTGGTCTGTATAAGGAGATAAAAACTCAAAAGAAAATACTTGTAAAAACCTACCCTGGCAAATGTTTATACTTAGATTACTATTTTCTTGATCCATAGTTAATACATCAAGAGTTGTGCTGTGTTCTATACCTTGATCATGATATGATTATACTATTTATGGTTTTGGTAACAAATGTTAAGCTGGTATAAGTTGGCATTTTCATATGTGACTATTAAAGGATACACAATATACTAATTAAAAAAAGATTTTGCAATTTTTTTCAAATAAATATTTTGGTAAACAAAAGGAAGATTTGGTATTTACTTAAATTTTATATACAGCGTAGAGGTATCTTATATGCACATGTTGTGTACAAGAAGAAAAACAATCATATCACATTAATTAGGAAATTAAATTGTTGATACAGTTGATGGCACATAATAATATAAGAATTGTGTAGTTTTAAAATCTAAACTGACATGATAATTAGCCTTCACATATAGAATATTTATTAAGATCTGAAGTCTGATTATGAACTGATTTATTTTTCATCATTTTTGTTTTAAAATTTGATGGTTTCTAATACATTTTTGTGAATATTTATTTTTGTACTGGTTTTTAAAATATGCCTTCTTTTCAGATAAGATGTGAAGGAATACGATTATTTCTTCTTTGGTTGCAAGCTCTCCAGACTAATTGTGCAGAAGAACAGCTGTTAATTTTTGCTTGTCTTGTGCCTGGTTTTCCTGCAGTGGTATCTTCAAAAGGTCCATGTACACTCGATACCCTCATCAGCCCTCCTCCTAATCTTCCTAATGGTTAGTTATTATATTCTTCTGATTTTTTTCATTAGGTTTCTAGATCGTGAAACTCACTTGCTATACTAATGAAATATTAGTCAATTGACATGAATTGCAGTTTTGAATAATAGTTGTAATGAATGTGTCTATATAGAAAAAAGTTTTAAGCAGTAATTAAAACACTTTTAATTATTCATTTAGGAAATCTGTGTTCCCAGCACTTTCTTAAAATAATATTATTATTCTTTTCATTTTGTGGGTGATATAATTAGGGCCTGATGTAATGTTGCAACAAGTTATGTGGACAGAATTACATTCTGCTGACTACCTATTGTCAGCAGTTTGGCAGGTCGAATCTCATGAGGCTCAAGGTTGACTCAGCCTTCCATCCTTCCGAGGTTGGTAAAATGAGGCAATATGGTGACTCTGTAAATTGCTTAGAGAGGGCTGTAAACCACTTTAAAGCGATATATAATTCTAAGTGCTATTGCTATCTGTGTATCTTCCATAGAGTATTGGTGCCTGATTATAGTTGGTCAATTTGAATGGGAAATATCATTGTTCAGGATGTGTGATACACCTTTGATTATATGTTTCTGGTTTTGGCTGGGAGCCACAAGTGATTGTGTTCTCTGGTCTTTCTACCAGTCCAATTTTGTTCAACAGGTTGGGTATGTTACAGGTCTTGTCGACCAAGGAATGTAAATTACATAGCAATTTTGTATTGTTTTATTTTTAAAAAAATTATTTGTATGTTTTTATGACGCAGGCAGCTCAGCATCCCTTACTGAGATGGGTGACTACAATAAATAAATAAATAAACAAGCACTTGTTCTGTTCTTTGTGTCTTATAGAATATTACTCTTGGGAACTCTCTTACTTTTTTGTATTTCACTGAATGGTTATTGTAGTTTGAGAAATGTCTGAATTAAACACTTAAGATACTAAGCTTGTCAACCACCTTGCCAACCAGTTATGGCCATGACAAAAGACAATGTGTGGAACATACAAAGGTACATAATCCAATGAGTGTAAATTAGTATTATTTTGTGTCGTTGCCAGTGTGTTATACCAGTATGTATGGGCTAGCCCAGAAAAGCAGGTGGAAAAGTAATAGCTTTTTTTCACAGTTTTTCAAAGCATTTATTTTTAAGTTGAAGTAGGGTACTTTATGCATTTATTCTATGCAGTTCCTTTATAGGCTCTTTGCTGGACAATTGAAGCTGCTGTGCTATTTGTTCCTCATTCCTAATGCTTTAAAAGAGTTGAACAGGGAATGCATTTATTGTAGTGAAATCCTTGAAGGTGTCTGGCTGAAACTTGGCAGGAATTACTGTCTTGTAATTTTCATTCTATTCTTATGCCAAAAAATGAAGCAGCTGCAGTCATTAAAAGGAGGCTTCCCCGTTACATTCTATGTCCAAGCTTTCAATTGAAATTCAGAATTGCTTAAATTGAATTGATTTGCCTTTCAATCTTAAAGTAGAAAATTGAATCATGCCACCTGCTAAAGTTTGGACTGGACCAGAGCTTGCTAACACATGTCTGTTACATACATAATTTTTGATAGATGAAATGTTCCATGAAAGGTTAGAGTGGATCTTGTTTTCAAGATAATTAGAAAAAATAGTTCTTGATATATAGCATAATCAAATATTTGACTTACCTGTTTATGCTGGTATATTAGTAATGTAGATTTTCCCAAATCAGGATGAAAGTTACGATGAAGAAGAAAACAGAGAGAGGGCTAAGAGAAGACAAGTCTCCTTTTAAGTATGTGAATGCAAAGGGAAGTGTGAGGTATTGCTTGTTTAGAAGAGCCATGTTGAAGAGTAAGGGCCCTTGCTTCTTCATGCTTGCCATATTTTATCCTTATGCTTTATGTTTTATTGGTATGATTGTAATTTCTTTGTTGTGAGCCACAGAGTTATTTAGTGTTGGTGGCATACACATTTATAAAATGTTATTATTGTTATTATGGTTGGTTGCACAGTCAGCTAGGTATTTGGACTGGATTTGGCATTTTAATCCACCTACCAAATCCATCCCAAAGGACCTGAGATAGGCAGATGTTGTTTGATGCTGTTAAAGGCCATAGGATATATGCTGTTCCAAGTAAAGTTGCCCTTTGCTATTGACTGATGATGCTTTTGTCAGTTGTAGTAGTAGTAGTACTAGTATTAGTAATAGTAGTAAATCCACACTAGTCTGAAATCCCAGCTGATGTTGGTCTTCATATGCACTGAATTTGTACCAAGAGCCTTGGATATCATAATGTATATGTAGATATATACAAATGTAATTTTGTAATTGAAAGATGGAAATTTTGTCAATGCACAGATTTTTCAAGAGTTATCTAAGGCTTTTTAGTACGGCATCCAATATGCCAATAACCATTGAGACCACTGCTGCCAGTTGGAGAAATTGGAGAAATATCAAGATACACAAATCAAAATTCAAAAATTATGGCATAATCTTTTAACTTTGATTTGTGTTTCTCGATATTTCTCCATTTTTTTCTATTCTATCTGCTTTTATTTCCTCATTTTCTTCTTTTCTTTTCTTTTTTTAAATAAAGTTTTATTGAGTTTTAACAGAACAAATAAAACATCTTATTTGAGTACAGCATGGTTCCGGGTTGTCACATTTCCATACAGAGACAATTTCATGTGCATATTCATCTTATGTATTCAACTTCATATCTTATTACTCTTTTTCCACCTTCTCACTATTTCTCCTTTCTCTTAATTTTCTTTTATTGTTATCTCATTTTCTTCTTATTCAATTGTATTTCTTTTACCTAAATTTCTATATCTTTTTATTCATTATACTTATACTTTCATCTGTCTTGTTTACAATTTCATATGTTCTCTTCCAACATTCTTAAAAAGCAAAATTCCCTCTATGATTGCCAGTCAGAGTGCAACACCTTTAAGTCTTATTGTTATTATCATATGAGATCTCATTAAACATTAAATGTATGCGTTTAAAAGTTATAACATTCAGATTTCTAATATCTATTTTATATCATGTAAATCTCATCATTCAGACTCTGCTTGGTACTTCCCCTTGAAAATGTAAAAAGAAAAATTCTAAAAACATAGCAAAAACATATATATATATATATATACACACACACACACACACACATTAGTAAACAAAATAGTTATTCAGATTCATTCTAATAATTGTATGAGCCTTGTAAATCTTTCACGTTGCTTTTCAATAAGTATCAATTTTTGAGAACAATTGAAATATTTCCCCCCCTTCTTCATTATTACATTAATTACATTAATTATTAATAAGCATACCATTGGATAGTCATACAGTTTTATCTTATAAATTATTTACTATTAATAAGCAAAATAATTATTCAAAATCATTCTAGTAACTGGTATAAATTTCCTTATATATCTTTCACATTTCTTTTCAATATTTTATCAATCTTTAGAAACATTTATAATGTTTCCCTCCCTTCTTTATTATTGCATTAATTATAAATAAACATACCATTACATAACAATACAATTTTATCTCATGGATTATTTACTTATTTCATTTCTAACTCATTACAGTATTCTTCTGTCAAAACACTATCTTTTGTACCTTCGCAGAATCCTCACTTTTAACTTAATTTAACCATTGTCTCTGTGTTTTCTAGATGAGCAAATACCTTTAATCCTAGTACGTTTCCCCTTTTTCTTTATTTCCTGCTTTTGTCCCTTATAACTTCTTTCCTTTCTATCTTTCCCCCCTTTTTCTCATCTCTTTTTTTATACCCTTCTTTCTCTAATTTTCCCTTCTGTAGTTTTCTGCTTCTCCTTGCTGTTATACTTCTTTTTTGGACTATTTTTCTTTTAGACTGTTCACTTTGTTCTCAAACTTTTAACTCCTTTCCCTGTTTTAGGGCTTTAAAATGACCCCCCCCAAAAAAATCTTTATTCTCCTTTTGACACTTAGATTTCAGCTCAAAGTTGCCTATCAGTGTCAAAATAGATTAACATAAATTTCTTTCCGTACCATTTGTAATTCTTAATATAAAGGTTAAAAAGGGGGGTTTTAACCTCTTTTTCTCTCTCCTTCGCCGCTTAAAAATCTTCTTTCAGAAGTATCCTTCTAAGTACTTTTAGATTAAGGGTACCTTGCTTAGATGTTCTCTGTTGTTTAGCCTGGTCTGTCCTGCTTTCCTCTTTGTCTTCCTCCTGCACAATCTTATCCAGCTGGGTTCTTCTTTGAGGTGGCCATTTCTGACCACTGCTGCAGTCGCCTTCGGGAAAGGGAATTTAGACCAGCCAAGGAGGAGAGATGCGGCTCCCCTCCACTCGGCTAGCAATCTTCCCGCTCTTCACCACCTCTACGGGGTGGCTTCAGCCCCGAATCCAAAGGATCGGGGCTCTCCAGCGGTGAGCACAAATCGAAACCACGCACGATCGTGGATTTCGGTCTGTCACTGAAGAAACCCAAACTGGAAGCCCTCATTTTCTTCTTTTCAACCACAGTTTAATCCAGTGTGTTATGCTCCAAGTATCAGTTCGTACACTGCTCAAAAAAATAATGGGAACACTTAAACAACACAATGTAACTCCAAGTCAATCACACTCCTATGAAATCAAACTGTCCACTTAGGTAGCAACACTGATTGACAATCAATTTCACATGCTGTTGTAGAAATGGAATAGACAACAGGTGGAAAGCATAGGCAGTTAGCAAGACATCCCCAATAAAGGAGTGGTTCTGCAGGTGGTGACCACAGACCACTTCTCAGTTCCTATGCTTTCTGGCTGATGGTTTGGTCACTTTTGAATACTGGCGGTGCTTTCATTCTAGTGGTACCATGAGACGGAGTCTACAACCCACACAAGTGGCTCAGGTAGTGCAGCTCATCTAGGATGGCACATCAATCCGAGCTGTGACAAGAAGGTTTGCTGTGTCTGTCAGCGTAGTGTCCAGAGCATGGAGGCGCTACCAGGAGACAGGCTAGTACAATAGGAGACATGGAGGAGGCCATAGGAGGGCAACAACCCAGCATCAGGACTGCTACCTCCACCTTTGTGCAAGGAGAGACAGGAAGAGCACTGCCAGAGCACTGCAAAATGACCTTCAGCAGGCCACAAATGTGCATGTGGCTACTCAAACGGTCAGAAACAGACTCCATGAGGGTGGTATGAGGGTCCGACGTCCACAGGTGGGGTTGTGCTTACAGCCCAACACCATGCAGGATGTTTGGCATTGGCCAGAGAACACCAAGATTGGCAAATTTGCCACTGGCGCCCTGTGCTCTTCACAGATGAAAGCAGGTTCACACTGAGTACATGTGACAGATGTGACAGGGTCTGGAGATGCCGTGGAGAACGTTCTGCTGCCTGCAACATCCTCCAGCATGACTGGTTTGGCAGTGGATCAGTAATGGTGTGGGGTGGCATTTCTTTAGGGGGCTGCACAGCCCTCCATGTGCTCGCCAGAGGTAGCCTGACTGTCATTAGGTACCGAGATGAGATCCTCAGACCCCTAGTGAGACCATATGCTGGTGCGGTTGGCCCTGGGTTCCTCCTAATGCACGGCAATGCTAGACCTCATGTGGCTGGAGTGTGTCAGCAGTTCCTGCAAGACAAAGGCATTGATACTATGGACTGGCCCGCCCATTCCCCAGACCTGAATCCAATTGAGCATATCTGGGACATCATGTCTCGCTCCATCCACCAACGCCATGTTGCACCACAGACTGTCCAGAGTTGGGGGATGCTTTAGTCCAGGTGTGGGAGGAGATCCCTCAGGAGACCATCTGCCACCTCATCAGGAGTATGCCAGGCGTTGTAGAAAGGTCATACATGCACGTGGAGGCCACACACACTACTGAGCCTCATTTTTACTTGTTTTAAGGACATTACATCAAAGTTGGATCAACCTGTAGTGTTTTTTTCCACTTTAATTTTGAGCGTAACTCCAAATCCAGACCTCCATGGGTTGCTAAATTTGATTTCCATTGATAATTTTTGTGTGATTTTGTTGTCAGCACATTCAACTATGTAATGAACTAAGTATTTAATAAGAATATTTCATTCATTCAGATCTAGGATGTCTTATTTTTGTGTTCCTTTTATTTTTTTGAGCAGTGTATTTGAAAAGCCACAATATTTTAACCTCCTCATTTTCTACTGCTTTTTCAAATCTGTGTTCCCATTAATTTCTTATTATTAGCACATGATAATTTTTACATATATCCCAGTGAATTGTTTTGGTGACTGTGTTATGTTGTTTATAGTCAGTTTCTTCAATCTTCTTGTAACAAGTTGAGTATATGATCTATTCTTCACCTTCTTTGTACAATCAACACTTCGAATCATTTGATGATTTTTTTAAATTCTGGTCTTGATTGTATTAGTTTGAATAGCTTGAGCACCTAAAATTGAGCCATTTCTTTTTCTTTTTTTAATATTCCTGTTGTAAGCCATTGCCATGTTTTGTTTCCTGTACATTCTGTCCAAGTTCCAATTTTTAAATTGTATCAGTGCTTGGTCGGTGATCTTTTACAGCTAATGCATGATTTTTCTTTTTCAACAAATGGCTCCATTTCCATAGGGCCAGTATAATTATTAATATTACTATAAGGATGTAATGCATAATAAGTAGTCATGAGCCTTCTTGTTTTTTGGTCCAAACTGTCCAGTTAATAATTCCAGCTGTATCTCATATCACAGGTATGACCAGGTATTGATATCTTTGATGTTATTTTCACCATTTCAGTTTTGTCTTTTGTATTTTTCTTACTCTTTGAATGTGTTCTTTACTAATCACATTTTTAATTTGCCCATGCTTGATGTTATCCAACTGTAAAATTCCCAGTTACTTGTAGACTTTATCCTGATGGCTTCTGATGATTTGGCCATTTGGCATTCATTCCATTACTGTTTCTAATTTGGCATTCATTCCATTACTGTTTCTAATTTTATTGCACTGTATTGCTATTGTAGCACATTTCTCACGATGATGACAGTTGTTGGTTGCACAGTCAGCCAGATGTTTAGATTAGACTTGCCATTTTTTGTTCATCTATCAAGTCCTTTCCAAGGACCTGGAATAGGCAGATGTTTCAGGGGGTGCAAATTTTATCGTGTGATCATTTAAAATCTTCATATATCTTATTTAGGGAAAATACATCCTGAAGATATAACACCACTTTTACCTCAAGCTATTGGTGAAAAGATTGAAGACCCAACTTGCTACTTTCTTCAGATACTCTTAAAATACATGGTAATTCAGGTGAGCACACATATAGTAATTTCATTGAAATTGTTTAATTTGTTCATATATTTACATATTAATTCCCACAGCACTATATTATTTCTCATCTTTCCTCATTTTCTCATCTTTCCTACTACCTTTTCCTATTGGTTCCTTATGATTTATCAGTTGTTGTTTGTAACTTATGATTAATGATTGTAACTGTGATTATGACCTATGATCTATGACTTGCTGTTTATAGGTACACTTTGAGCTTATGCACCGGAGAAAATTCCTTGTATGTCCATTCACACCTGGCCAATAAAGAATTCTGTTCTGCTTTGCTTTGCTTTGCTTTGCTCTACTCTACTCTATTTTAATACTAATTCTTGTCCCATCCCATCCCATCCTATCCCATCCCATCCTATGCTATTGCTTACATAATATTTAATGTAAGTTGGGGCTTAGGGAAAAAAGCACTGGCATTATTTTCAAATTAAAGTAAGATGGTCCTTGCTTACTGACAATAATTGGGAGTAGGAACTCTATCGCTGGTCATAAGGCATGATGTTACATGAACACACCAATTTGCGCTGCCAGTTCTAGCAACCCCAGTTGCAGTCATTAAATGAATCCCATTTGGTCTCAGTATACCACAGTTATATAATTGCCTTTTGCAACCCCCTACCAGCTTCCCCATTAACTTTGCTTGTTGGAAGCCAGCAATGAAAGTTGGGAATGGTAATCACAGGACCTCAGGACTCTGCAATGCCTAATTGTGAGCTGGTTGCTAAGTTCCTAAATTGCAATCATGTGATAGTAGAAAAGCTGCAGTGGCTGCAGTTGCAAGGACTGTTGCAAGTCCCCTTGTTCAGTGCCATTGTAACTTTGAACAGTTGCCAACTGATAAGCAAGGGAAATCTGTATTTGCAGTTTTTATTAATTTTAATTTGTATGGTTTACATTATAAAAACCTCAGATTCTGTGTTCTCAGGGAGGATTGCATTAAAAAAGAATATATAGAATTTTTAATCATACAAATATTTCAGTGTTCTTTCATTTAACTTGAGTTATTTTCTAATTCTGGTAAAGGCTGCAAAGGTGGAATGGAAGAATAAGGAAAACCTTAACACAGGATTTAAGTTTCTCTTTGCCCTCTTCAGAAAATATTATCTTCCTCATTTGTTCCCTTCTTTTATAAAACTAACCAACCTCTACAATCCTGCGCTTGGTAAGTAACTATTTTACCTCAGTTATTTTAATAACATTAGAAGAAAAGTTTTTCCCTAATATTAAGATTGAAATCTTTAGAAAATAGATTCAAGATCCAGAGAGATCTTCACAGACTTCAACACTGGGCCTATCCAAAAAATATAAGTCAGTAGTGAGAAAAGTAAGATT